GTAAGATGGTATCAGGAGGGTTGTTTGTCTCAGTCAACATCAAAGAACAGGACCAGAATCCTGACCCAAATGAAGCCACCACCAAGATTCTGAGTCTGGTGTAAGCAGGATTTTCCTTTGGTCTTTAGTACCCAGTGAGGCAGCCTGGCAAAAGTCATGTCCCCAAAACAAGAAAAGAAAAAGCACATACAGGACACTGAATCAGGCAGAGCAAGGGTTATAGCAGCAGGAATTCCCAAATACCTGAGTGGATGTGCTTATCCCAGGGCTCTACTGAGATTTATGCAATCTCATATTACACTTGCTTGGCACATTAATTTTTAGTGGGAATTTGGAAGAGGAGGGATTGCTAGCTGGTGAAAAGAAGCTGGAAGGCTGTGGTGGGTAGGGTGGGGCCTGGGAGATGGTAGAGATGAATATACCCAATAGCACAGTTCAGCACCATCTGGGTTGTGAAGCATTTATTCCCTAGCAACCAAAAGGCAAGGGGAAAACTCTCCCACTGCACTGGACCACAGCTCCCTATGGTTTCCTAAAGCCAACAGCCTGACTCCACTGCCCTGCAGAGCCACAAGTGACAGAAATTTGCAGTGCTATGAAGTCCCTTTCTTTCCCAAACACAAACTCAATGGTGTTTCTTTAAGAGACATTTGAACCTCCAGAAGGTTCATTTTAATGTATTAAGCTGTGTTTGGGTATGGTTTGAAGGACAGTCCCAGCAAGGCTTTTGCTAAAGCCAGGCACTGCTGCTCTAATGAATTGTTTTAAGCAGCAGGTATTTCTATTTATTCTGGCATCAAATAAAAACCCGCCCTGGAATATACAGAAACATTCAACATGAACCACTATGGAAAATGTTTTTAATGTGAGAATTCCTTTTCCACTCAGAGAAAACCAGCTAGTCTTTTCCCTTTCCTTGGGGATGAATTCTCTGTTGTGACACTGGCAAGGCACTGGAATCAATATGACACAGGGAAGAAGATTTAAATGAACAGTACAGGCACTATGACCAGAATTGTCTCCTGCTGTGGACAGGTCAGCCAGAGGTGGCAAATCACCAAAGAAAAGGTAAAAATGTGCAGTGTTTTGAGGTGTTTTACATGGAATAAAAAAGCCTACTTGGAGACACAGACCACAGATCCTCTTTTGCCAAACCTGGGCATATTTTGAAACACTTTATTGTGATTAACAGCCAGGAGATGGGAATGTTTTTCTCCAAACACTGATTCACTTGTGGAAAGAGCCTGGAAAACTGTGTTTCTCAATCACCTCCACTCTGTGCTTGGTTTCCTCCAGGCAGCTATTCCTCCAGCTCAGCCTGCCCCCCTGCAGTACACACACTTACTCTGCTTTCTTTTCCCCGACATCAAGCCACAGAGGAGCACATGTGACTGCAGCAGAGGTAAAGTCATTTTTAACCAGGGCAATTTAAGGATATTTAAGACACATTCTCATTTTCCATTTCCCAATTCCACACTGCCCCCAATTTTATTATTAGCTGAATACAGGGAAGCTTCAGCTTGGATGTGGGGTAACATGTACACTGAGGAATGAAGGCCAAGCTTTGCCTTGAAATATGCAGGATCATTCCTAACTAACCGTAAAGCTGCTTATTTGGCACTGGCAGTGGAAATATTGAACGAAAGGGGCATTCTCAATCTGCTTATGTCACAGAAAGGTTGGATTCTGACAGTGTGCAAGGCTCCAAGCTGCAGCCTGATATTAATAGCAAGACATTAAACTCGCAATTTGGCTGGCTCGGAGGCAGCTCCGTTGGAGCAGAGATTTTTCTGCAGGAAACGGCAGCTCTGGTTGGAGTCACAGCACGAGGGATGAGCCCAAAGCAGACTCAGGAATTTTGACTGGTGTGTGACGAGGCTGTGTCACACAAAGAGAACCTTCCTGCTCAAACTGAGGAGTGTATCCCACCACAGAGGCTGTTGGAACACAACTGTTCCACAAAGGAATATTGTTTTCCTTCTGTCCGCCTCCTTTGGAATCCGTCCATTCCCAGGCCTAACTTACCCAAGCAAGTGGGACAATGAGCATTAACAAACTGTTTCTCACACAAACATGGTTCTGTTCCATGGTGCAGACAGTGGGGTATCACCTCACCAAGACACACCTACACATTTTCCCCATTTTTGAGCTTGTTTTTGCCATTATGTAACCCTCCACACTACCCTGGCAGCTGGGCCAAGAAAATTTGAACCAAGTCCCCAGAGCAACTGGTTTCAGTGAAGGGCCCCTGCCAGAATACAAATACAAACCTCCTGTTGCTGTTTTCTTGCTGTGTCTGCATGGCAAGCAAAGATTCCAGACAGGTTTTTCAATATGGATCTTACAGAGCACAAATGAACACCTCTTATGAGCCATCTAAAGTTTGTAATCCCACTTCCCAACAGCTAGGCCTCAAGGCTTCTACCAGTTAAGTTTTGCTTCCTTATTTCTCACAATGTAAAGAAAATCAAGAATATTTGTCACTGAAAATAACATTACCTACAACACTCTGATTTCAGGACATATAATCCAACAAATTCCTTAGAATCTCTTGAACATGACGAAGCAACATTAGATTCTGGACTTGTACTGCATCACACCCCCAAGAACCCCACACTTTCTCTTCACAGACCTCCCTAAGCCATGCAATCTCCTGTAGCTTTGCACTCAAAATCCTCATTTCACAGAGGTAGACAGAAGCATTCAGAATTCAAGTCACTTGCCAAATGTCACACAATGAGTCAGTGCCAGAGCTGGGAATAGAAATCAGGAGTCTAAGAGTTCAGATTCTCTGCCTTATATAGAGCAGCAGCCCCAGTCTCCTGGCTTAGGAGAGCGGCTGCTCGCTGCATTTACAGGATGGCAGCATTGGCATTGCAAGGGCCAACCTCAGCCATAAGGGTGTAAAAACACACATGCATCTGCTGAGAACACATCCTTCATCTGTTCAGGTGTAAAGCAAGAAATAAAAGCAAGTTGCTGTTGTAGAGAACTTTGGGGAGTGCAACAACCTCAGCATAACCATTAAGACCAAACACGATGTCACTCACTTCTTGCTTCCACAGGCAGTGCTGCTGATTTGGAGAGGAATATCTGGGAGCTGCAGTGAGAAATGGGAATCTGGCAACAGCAGAAATGGTTGAAACACCAAGATAAACCTTCCTAAGCCAGTATGGAGGATCAGTGGGCATCTGCCTGTCTCAATTTTTGCACTCACATTAAGCCCAAGTCAAAACCATGCCACAGTGCTGCTCATATCACCCAGGTATGAGCACATGGCATGGAATCTGCCTATTAAAAACCTATTTATTTACAACTGACACCTGCTTTTTCCAACCCTAACAAAGGAGGAAAAGTGGAGAATTTTTTTGAATGGTTAAAATTACCGACACTAATCACTGTCTCAAACCAGCTGCATGTCACAAAAGAATATTCATTGATTTATTCTTCCTCTGCCATGAAAAAGTGCAGATGGCACAACAAGGCCAAATGGGGCACAGAAGATACATAAGTGAAGATTTAAATGCTTTGCTGCCACATAATCAAACTGTCAGAGGAGAAGGTAGGAAAAGCAGGATTGAAGAGAGCAAAGAGGCTTTACTGGTTTTGTCCCAGGAATATTCACCTAAATATTTTGGAAAACTATGCTTGAAAGAGCAAGGGAGTTTAATCTTCTTTGCTGTGATCTTCTGCTTTCTCCACTGCAGCCACAGCCTACAGCAAGCTGCAGTACAAGAAATGACTTGGGTATTGTAAGAACAGAAGAGAAGTCATAAAAATATTTCCTTAGTCATGCTGTCTCTGGTAATAAAATTCCCTGAATAGAGATCTTCAACAATACTATCTTTAAATGTGGAAAGAGCTCTGACTCTAGTCAGCATGTGTCTTCCATCAGTTTCTCTCTCTCTTTTTTTATTTTTAACTTCTTTATTGTATCTTACCACAGCCACCAGGTACAGGCACAAAGTGTAAAAATCCTCCTCACTGGAAGTGTGTTTTCCACTGGACACAGAATAAACACATTGTGAGGGATTCCAAATGGAAAAAACTTGGACACAGAGGCCAGTCCTTGCTCATGTGTATGTATCCTCCAGCTCTGTATTTCTTCCTTTCACCAGATCCCCACACCAGGCAGGGAAGGAGCTGTGTTCCAAGGTGTGCCTTCCACAAGGACTCCTGCTGAAGGCACTTCCCTCCCTGCTCTGCATCACCCACTGTCCATAACCCCTGCAAGTGTCTCCCTGAACACTGGAGTGTAAGAACAGCTGAAAATTAGGATTCACTCCAAGTTTACACAGAATAGAGGCTAAGGGGCCACCTGACTTTCAGGCAAGTCTAAAAAAATTCATGCCATCATGCCAGAGAGGATGTCGAGCTGTGCCTCCAAACACTGCTGCCACTGTGGGGATTAAAAAAAAAACCAACCCAGGAGAACACTGAAGGTTACTGCTACCTGAGTGAAATAAATAAACAAAGTATTTAATGTGTAGGATGTAAGGACCCTGTGTATGCAGGCTTTGGATACAAGCAAAGGCAGTTAGGAAGTAGGAGGAGCAGGAGGCTGAAAAGATGATTTAACTTGGCATTCCTACAATGAGGTATTCTTCTCCAGTGTCTGAGTGCCAGCTTGATCTGGGAATGTCACACAGGTTCTTACAATGGGAAATACACTCCTTAGTTAGCAAATTCTTGTTTGAGGCGAGAGAGAACTAAAAGGAACATTATACAGACACACCAAGAGGCCATTTCTTCTGCATCCACTCCAAAGAAGCAAAAATACTTAAGAATAACTCATGAACCCAGAGACCTCCAGGGCTTAGAAGGGGTTAAAATTTAATGGCTTATTTATAGCTCATACCCTGCTCAGCTAATCCATATTTGCATCACAGAAGTACACAGAACAGCAAAACCAACATTACAGCAAACCAAAGATTGCCCAGAACACTGCTCTTAGCACAGAGGTGGCTATCAAAATACCCTCCCTTAATTCTTGGACTTACCCACAGTGTCACAAGGCTCGTCTTTGTGCACGCAGAAATCTGTCCTAGAAAGAAAAACAGAACAGAAGTGAAATGTATCCTGGGCCTCCAGACTAGGAAAAAGCAGTGGTGCATGACTCACATATCATGGGTGTTGAGGTCTGGGGATTTTGTAAGGCTGCTGTGCAGTCTACACGATAACAACACAGATAGCAGCCCTGATTGCTACTGAGATTTCAGGCAATTATGAGAATCAGCCCCATGTACCACAGTCCAGTTTAACAGACTTAAGATTCAGCACCTAAAAGAGCCCTGCCTCAGTCTGTGATGTCACACTTATTCCACAACTGGATTAAAACTGAAGCTCTTTCCACAAGAGAATTGTAACAAGAACAAGCAGACACCCTGTGGTGCACCCTAAAAGATAGTGGCAGTAGGAGATGTGTGGGGCACAGCCCAAAGGCACAGAACTAATAATATGTACCCAGAAATTCCCAACTCTTCATTAGAATAGAAAAGAACATGAAGAAAGCACGACTAAACAGAGAAAGACAGATTGTTGACATGGAAGAAGAAAGAGAATTTCAGGATTTTCCTGGTAATGGGCAAATTAGCTTCAGCTAAATTTATTATTTGCCATGTTATGGCTTGAATCCAACAGAGAGATGTTCAAGAGACTCCATTTGGTTCCCCACATCTCATCAAAGCAGGAGAAGATACTAGAGATGCCAGTGGCACCCATAAATCAACAAGGGATCCATGGAGCTGTATTAAACAGAAACAGAATAAAAGCCTTGAAGCTCACCATCAAAGCACTGACACATCATGTGAGATGATTTTGTACATGAGATTCCTCATGACAGAAAAACAAGTGTGTGGGGGGAAGTGCTTTATAACCAAATTAACAGCTTGAATACATTTCAACAAGCACTTAAACCAAAGTTTTAGGAGCTCTCTTCACCGGGGCTGCTTTGCAGTGCAATCCACAATGAAGAGGAGCTGCAGAGAAACATCAAATGTGCTAAAATATTTCAGAAGTTCCTTAACCCAAGGGAAGCTGAGGAACTGTAGTCTCTATCACCATGGCTTTCCTCACCCTGGGAGGAGGCAAGAGAATCCTATTAGTGCATTTGGAGTGTGCCATTCGAAATGCCTGAGTCCCCATGGGATTTGGGGTTTAAGAGTTTGGCAGGAGGAAGATCAAAAATACTTTGAGAAAGATAAATACTTAGAAAAAGAAAATACTTAAGAGAAATATAAAAATAGATAAAAAGTGCTCTTTCCATGAAGAAAGTTATGAAACTGGGGTTTACAGGAAAAGGGATTTAAGGCCCAAGACTGTGGCTGATGAATCCAGACCCTCCACACCAAACTCCTTTGAAAACCACAAATCAAGCTGTCAAGGGCTTGGAAGGAGAACACAAACAGCCATTACCAGCTCTTGTTCAGCAGACATTGAAAACCAACCATGCTTCAGTGCAGAAAAACCATAAGAACCATCAAAGTGTTAAAAAATCAGACAGGAACCAAACAAAAATCGGAAGCTACGACCACACACCGGCCCCAGCTTTCATTTTTCACTGCAGCCTGTGTCTCGACACCTTGGCATTCCAGCCTTCCCAAGGAAGACTGATGACAGTCTCCTGACGGAGCTGGCACCAGCGCGCCTGCTCGATTTCCCAGAGCCAGCTTGACAGAGGTTTATTTAAGGACTTATTATGTTATATAAACTGCTAAATCAAACAGATGCTTTTCTTGTGACAACAGATAGCTGAACTATTAGTGGATGGCAGGAGGCCACAGCTAGAAAAGCCTCTCTCTCTCTCCAGAGCCTGTCCAGCCCTGCAAATAATGCACAGAATTTCTGCTCCTCACTCTGTCCCACACCAAAAGGTGTCTGGCACTTTTTGGCAGCCCCACAGAGGAATGACCACCATGCTATTAAATAAGGGGTCTGTAAATGATCCAGCACAACTTGCAGATTCTCCTACAGAGGTAGAACAACCCTTGTGCTGTGATGTGATGAGAGTGCTGTGATGCTGTTTGATCAGGGAAGGGCTTGAAGTGTATCAGCAGCAGAACTGAACATCGCTGGCAATTCAAGTATAAAACCTGCTCAGCCCATCCTCAAAACTGTCATAAACAAAAGACCAAGAGACTCCATCTTCTATTCAAATATATGTACAAAAAGGCCAGGATTTAAGCCATCTGGATCATTGCAATTATTTTATCCCAAAACTCTGTGGCCAAACAGAAAAGCACATCCAGACTTTTAGTCACAAACCAGCTCAGTGGGTCTCGGTCTTCTTCCAAAGGCAAGGAGACACCTCATCATAAATCCCATTGCTGAAACTCCAGGAGTCCTTCCCTGGCAGTCAGAGGGAAAACACAACATGGAAAGGTGTTCACAATGATCTGTCTCACCTGTGGCTCAGTCACACCAGTGATTTAAATGACCCCATCCTGGCACCTGAAACTAATCTGCTTTCAAAAAGATTTCAATCACAGGTGTCTCTCTGGCACATTTTTGAGCTCAACTGCAGGGGTAATTTTGAAGTGAGAACTTGATATGACTGATACTATAATGATAGTCAACAATGCAGAAAAGATACTTTAATATTTATTGCATGTGCAAAGGTCTCTTATCAGAGAAGCATAGTTCTGTTAGCAGAATTTTTTAAAGAGCTGTGTTGAAATAAAACTTTTACTCCAGGAGCTGCAGTTCAAATCCAACATCTGACCTTCTTTCATGAGATCTTGGGTAATATATTGAAATATATTGAAACCACAGCTCTAGCTGTGAACCAGTTTTACTCTTCACTTTTAGCCACTGACTGAATCAAGCAGGACACGAGTTCTCATCCTGTGACCTGTGAAATTCCCAGTCATTATCACGTGTGGTACCCAGCAGAGGTTTCCATTAGCAGAGTATAACAATTCTCAAAAAAATGACAAGAAGTCAGTTGTTTTGTTCAATAAAAATAGCCAGAAGAGCTCAGAACTCCTCCTACAGTCACTCTTCCATCTGGCTCCCACCAGCTGGAAAAAAATACCTAACTGTGCTAAGCTAAACTCTGCAATTCAGGTCCTTCCTGTGAGAAAGAAGGACAGTAGTTGAACTGTGCAACAGGAATAAGAAGCATTCTGTTAAGTGGCCATTCCCAGCACCCTTCAAATGTCATCTTTCGACCAGTCTAACCCTGCAGGGTCATAAAGCTAAAGGACAGAGGAAGCTGGTAACACCACTGTGTCAGGAAAAAACAAGTCTTTGCTTACAGACAGGTCTGAATCCTGTTCCTGTGCTGGGATGTTCTTTGCTATCATATCTGCTATCACATCACCTATAGTCTAATAGGTGACCCAAAGACCTCCAGCCAGGAGCTGGGATAACATCAGTGTGCCTGAAGATTTCCCAGGGAATGCAAAAGACAGAGGGATCAAGAGAGGGAATGTGTTTCAAATGAGACATGCTTCTAAAATCACTAAGATACAGATTCTGCAGACAGAAGTTATTCTGGTCAGCTGCCTGTTAAAATATGAAGTACACTATCCAAAGATGCCAGATAACTGAATTTTTGGAAGTTCAAAACCAGAATGGGAATGAGAAAAGTCTGATGATTATAGAGACCACAACACTATATTCAGACCTTCAGGGCTGTGACAGATTACTCCCACTGTCTCACTTATTTACTAAGCTGGACAATGCATCTTGTTCCACAGACACAGTGTGTCTCTCACCTGGAACTCAGGTGGATACCATTAAAATCCCACAAGAGGGATATTTGCCACCTAAATAATCTACTTTTGCATACAAATGAGGGTATGGGAAACATCACTTAGAGGTGAAATTTCAAAAGGCAAGCATGCCTTGGTGTTTCAAATGAACCCAGTCAGATTGGAACCAGAGGGATTTCTTCAGAGCTTGACCCCAAAGAATCTGTTTCTAGTCCTTAAAGCAGATGCAGCTGCTGAAAATTCAGCTTCTGCTTTTTCTGGCGCAACTGCTTGTGCTGGACATGCTCTTGCTCCCACATCCTCTACCACTGGTCCATCTGTACAGTCTGGGGAGGGTCCAGGGACACACACACATAAAAACACACACACACACACATTTCCAAAGACAGGAGGAGAAAAATCAATTTCCCCGAAACAGGAATGGGGCTGAAGGCCCAGAAGTCTTCCAAAGAATGCAGCATCCTCCATGCAGCAGGAGCAGAATGGGTTAAGGATGACAGGACACAGCAAGAAGGAAGAAAATACTCCAAGTACACACTGCTGGCCTCTCCAGCAGCAAAAATGCTGCTCCTGTCCACAGCTATGTGCTCCTTGGCCTAAGCCTTCTCACCGAAGCTCAGTCTGGTTTCTAACCCAACCAAACCTGTACTTTCCCAGATATTCCCGCTGCAAAACCCTACAAATCCATTGAACAATTCCTCCCACAAATTCTTTCTACAGTCCTTCCTCAGAAGCCTGTGTCCCACACATTTAGCCTGATATTATGCATTCAGTTTTGAGAGCTGCAGAGATGAAATGCTCTACTCATTCGCCCTGCCCCATGCTCAGAGCCCATCAGCAGAGATTCTCTCTGCCTCACTTGTCATGCAGGACAACTGGATACCCAGATGAGTTTAACAAAAATGTTAGTTATTTATTTAGGCCCTGATCCAGTGGAGCACATGCTGAACTATAACCAGGATGTGCAGCCTGTTGACTTCAAAGGAACTATTCCCCCTGTCTAAACTGTTAAGTAGCTGCACAAGTGCCTGGTGGACTGCAGTGAATACAGAGAAGGGAGCAGGGTTTGGGGGAGCTGCACACACATCTGTGGAGGAGATTTCTCAGGAACTTTGTTGGCTTCATGCCCTACTGTCCAGCTCTTTCACTGAACACTCACCAGAATCCCATGGATAGTTTGCAGTGGGGCTGTTAACACAAATCTAACACAAGAGATTATTACAATCAGGATGGCAGTTTATGCACAAACATGTATTTCTACTTATATTGTTGGCAGAGAAAATAAGTGACAGAGGTGAGTAATATCGAACTGCAATACAGACATCTCAAATTGGGGAAGAAGGGGATAGGAAGCAGTGTTTTTCTAGCACAATGAGCATCCACATTACACCATAATTTTGAGCTCACTGTAAACATTCAGAGATCACTTCTGTAAAAATTAATACTTGTTTTGCATCTTAAAGGATGCAAAAGACTTACAACACCATGAATTTGCTACTCAAATTTGTACTGTGGCGAACATGTGACTTGCATTGCATTGTGAGTTTGAGCTCAGGTAGTTGGAGGAAAAAAGACTGTTGTCACTACAACACCCTTTTCCTAGCTTTATCTGATGTGTTTTATACACCAGTAAATTCAGAACTCCAGGGTGCAAAGAATTTTGATCAACTATTTCTACAAAGATCATTTTATGTCTGAAATAAATGCAGGAGTTTTCAAATAACAAGCCAATCAGGAATGACACCCCTCCTCTATCTCAGTTGTGATAGAGAAGAGTTGTTAAAGTGGTTATTTCCTTGGGCAAAGAGGGAGAAAATTAATATAATTTATGGTATTTCTCTCCCTCTTTCTTTAGGAGATAACTCCCTCCCCATCTCCCACTGCTGACACTGTCTGCTCCTCTCAGATTGCTCAGCTGATTCATCTCTAATTGCACACAGAGCACCTGAGCTCAGCTGTGTTCTCAGTTCCACACCTTTCTCCTAGGAAGGAGGGCTCCAAAACTTCCCCTATTTTTTCCACTCCTACCAGCTGGTGTGAGAAAAAAGCTGCCCCTGTGCTACAGCCACACCTGATCCTGACTGTGACACAGAGCAGTGACCACAAATGTGACATTTTGCCTCAAAAGGAGAGATGCTTAACTTTGTTAAGAATGCACAAAAACAAGACAGATCACTTGCATCTGAGGCATCTGAGCAGCAAAGGTATCATCTTTTTCTTAGATTTCTGCTTGACCAGATAACCTCATCACTGACCATGGGCATTACTGGTTGAAGCAAATTGATAAACCCAGACCTTCCCATACCTGGTCACAAAAACAGCAGCATCCACAGGAGGGGTGTCATCCCTGGCACCAGGAACCTGGTTGTTACCAAGGTATTTTGCCCCACCATATTCTTCATTTTGCCACTGACAGAAGCTCTCCAGAGACCTCTCTCCATGATGCCCAATAGACAACTTTGCCTTTAGGGGAAAAAAAAATTAAAAAAAAAAATATATATATATATAAAGGAGAAATATCAGTCCCAGTCACATCAGAGCTCTCTGTAACAGTTAACTCCAGGTTGGTTTGCAGTTACAAGCAGACAGCTTTACCAGGAAGGATAAATAAAAGGATTCTGCTTCCTTTCACTCCCACAGCCCCTGTACTTCCCACCTTTAACACTGCCTGGTGAAGTGGAACTGGCAACTCCTCACAGTTTGTGATCTTGAGGCCAGAGATGGCCCACATCCCCCTCCCACCCTGTGAGACACCACAAAGCAATTCCAGGAGCAGGGGAGAAAGGGATTGCAACTCACAGGGCGATTGTGAAGCAGAACTAGTTTGGTCACTCGAATGTTGACTTTAATTCCCAGGCTTTGATGCTGGAACATGTTGTACACCTGTCAAAAAGCAAAGAAAGCATCCAAAACTTGTTAGTAGAAATATCAAGACCTAGTAATAGGTGAGGAAACTAATTGTGACTAAAGTTAGAAATTTCGCCTTTTAAAAATTGACACAAAAACTCCCCAAAACGGATTGTGCTATGACACTCAATAAAATAAAGAATTTTTAAGGAGGAACTTAAAAAAAAACTTCCTTACTGTAGAAAGGAGAAAAATATTCCAAAGGAACTCTAAAGATAAAGTCTCAGGAACATGGACATACATTATGAAGCATCCAGCTAACATGGATCTTCAGCATTTAAATATCAGAGATATCTGAATGCAAGATGAAATAATGGTGTGTTTTAGACTTCAGGAAATAGAATGGAAAAGCAATTTCCCTCTGTTATTTTCATATCTTATATAAGAGAATAGTAATAAGGCAGCACATAATGACACAAGCCTCAGGAAATACAAAAATAGCACCGGAAACTACCTTACTACTTTCTCCAGATTTTGCATTCCAGCTCAGATACTTTACCTCATTTTATAGGTTAGAATATAAGATCTTAATTGATCCCAGAATTTTATTCCACTCGTTTCTCTGTGTACAAATGTTTTAACTAGACAGTATCAAAAAAAGGTGAGGGAAGGGTTTATTTTAAAAAGGTGTAAAATGACACATAAAAGGCCTTGGGTGAATGTTGTATCACCTACTTAGTAAAAAAAAAACCAAAATCAAGACCAGTGAAGAGAGACTCCTGACAAGTGGAAGGCAGGTTTGGCCCCAGGTAAGCAATATTCCTTCCTCACAGCTCGTTTGGCTACAAGCATCACCCAGGCTCAGTAACTTCCTACAGCAAACCCGAGACACGAGCACATCTTGCACATTATGTTTTCAACGCTTGGTATTTTTCCTATTTGTGCAAATACTCAGGAATGTGCTCAGTGGAAGAGTGCTCTGAAGCTCTCCAGTGTTTGGGGTTGAATTTAAGCACACACGTAAATGTTTCCTACAATTCAGGTACAGATTGCAAGACAGAGCTACTCAGTGTTTGACCCAGTGACCTTCAGCTGAGCACAATGAGCCATTTATCTTCCCTGGGGCTGGTGTACAAGTGCACACAAGGGCTGGCACTATTTGCTTAGCGTGGGGAAGTGTTGGTAGAGCAGTTCAGGCCTCTCACTACAGACCTGAGGGGGATAAACTTGACATTTGCAGAGAAAGGCTCTGACAGATGATCCCTGTGTAAGTGGAGACCTGGACGTTCAGGTGGGAGGGTCAGTGGGGCACCAGGTTGAGAGGGTGAACCCATGGATGGATGGATGTCTTCGGTTTCCCAGCTCACCACTAGCTCTGGCCATCCCATGAAGTTCCCACTCATGAAATGAGAATAAATCCAGCAAACAGGTCCTTATCACTGAGCCTGGTGGGTGCTGGTGCTTGGCTTCCCATCAGAGCAGTGCAGCTGCCTCCAGCATGGACATATCCAAACACCACTGACTTCCAAAGGCTGTTTTCCCTGGCAAAACTTGCCCACTAAGCACCAGCTGCTGGAGTTCAGGATGTCATCTTGAAAGCTGCCAGTCCTTCCTCCTTTCTCTTGTATTCTCTGTCCTAAGGATAACTCTGACTACACTTTTATTCCCATCAACCAGTGATCTCAGAAGAGCTCAATCAGCAGCAATTGGATACTAAACCAAAAAAAAAAAAAGTCACTGGGAGCACAAGAGGCTCCACTTTGCTTGTTTATTCAAGCTTTGTTTGCTTATTTTCTTAAATGAAGCCCAAAGGAGCCCCAGACTGATGGCAGTTTGTATTGCCTAGAAGAAGCATTAGCCTTTCCCTCTGAGAAGGAGATCATTTAACAGTTACAGCCAACACTTGACTGGGAGAAAATTTAATTTGTCAATTAAAATAATTTGTATGCAGAGAAAAAAAAGATAAATTAAAACACTTCCCCCACTTCATCCTTACTCCTGCATTCATGACTCCTTCCCCCTCCATGCAGTTGGATGGGGAATGGGAACTGTCCTCAGCCTGGAACAGGTCTCTCTGGGCTCCCTCCTCACACTTTTTCCCTGTTTCAGTATGGATCCTCTCCATGGGCTGCAGTTCCCATCAGAAGAGCCTGCTCCAGCACAGCTCCTCTGCTCAGGTCACAGTGTTGGGAACAGCCTCCTGCCCTGGTTTCCCCACAGGCTGGATGGCAACCTCTGCTCCAGCACCTGGAGCTTCTTCCTCATCCCCCTGCTCTGACCTGGGTGCTCACATGGATTTTTTCCCCACTTTTTTCCAGTATTCAGCTTTTCCTCCCTCTTTTGAAGACGTTTTCACAGAGGCACCCCTAGCTCTCCTGACAGGCTCTGCTGTGCCCTGTGGTGAAGGCTGGGACCATCTGTGTCTGGCACGGGGCAGTTCTGGGTCTCAGCCCCACCACCAGCTCACCCACACACTGTCCTTACAGAGGGAAACTTCTCTCAGATCATGGGCTTTAAGGCTAGAAGGAATCCAATGGAGAAGGCAAACAGACTTTTAAATGACTTGATAAAAAAAAGATGAGCCTGATACAGCTCAGGTTGTTCCCAGCTGGAGTTAAACCAGGTAGGCTGTGTCCAAAGGAAGCATCACAGAATCCAGCTGAATTTAAAATAAAATAATTCAAATACAGGTCTTTCCTGCTAAGAATGGAATTCCATCATGGCAGCAACAAATTTGTGCCTTTCTCACCCAGCCAACAAGAAAACCAAACCCCAGAGACTCAGCGTGTCCAAGCTGCTCAACACCACATCCAAATGTCCACCAGCAGCACGTGCCAAGTGAGGTGGTTGGGATAACTGGTACCAGGGGATGAGGAATGGGATTTCCCACTGCAGATGTTCTCAAGATTTCCTGCTGCATGGACAGAGAGACTGACTCACAGACACCTCCCTGCCCACTCCCAACACCATGGGCCACCCTTCCTCAAGCCTGCAATTGCATCACACCCTTCAGGCTGCTGTGAATATTTCCAACAGGGGAAAAGTGAAAATATTTGGGTGGTTTAGAACCTTTTAATAAAATAAGGCAGCTGGGAACAGAAGTGTCAGCTGCATGAAACTCTGCCATGGAACCAAATGCAAAGGGTACTTGTTTAAGACATCACCAGAAGTGGCAGAAAGCAGCTTGGATGGAAAAGAAATGGAGGTTCTGGATCACTGGGAGGAAAGGAAGGGAAGGGAAAAGTGGTCAGTGGGACTGAAGTGTTGTGGGTGCCCTGCTGCAGGTGAACATCTCTGTTTGAAGTATTTGAAGTATTGACTTCTCTGTGAGGAGGCATCAAAAGACTGAGCTCTGAAAACAGGAGACATGGTAAAGAACTCTACAAAACAGCAAGAAAAAATGGAAAGGGAAGTGCAGTAGAACAAGAATAAAGCCTGTCTCTGGCATCTCCTCCTTCATCTGCATTTATCTGACAGATCTTTACTGTACAAAATACCCTAAAGAAAACAGGAAAGCTTGAAAGCTGGACCATCCTTCTCTGTTTGCATTCCTTCTGCCTCTCTTTCTCCTCACAGCTCTGACATGGAAGGGGCAGAACAAATGCAGTTTTGGCATAAGCTGAGCAGGCCTGCCCCAGCACGCACAAAGCAAACACAGACATAAGGAATTGGGCTGAGAGAGGAACTACACGACATAATTCTAATTTTTTTTTTTTAAATTCTCAAGAGCTTCCTCTGCAGGTGGATGGTGGGAGGGAGACGTGTGTGTTTCAGATGTTTTGGAGTTCAGAACAGCAACCCTGAGGATAAATTGACTTTTTTTTCCCCCCCTTTTTTTCTTCCCTAAGCACTGCATTCAAGCAGAAGCCTTCCCATTGCCTTGGCTGCTGGATGAGGTTTGGACAGCAGAAGCCTTAGTCAGGTTACTGAGGTTGTCTTTCTCTTGTTTTGAAAAGTGCTATAGGATTTCTAACACCCACCTAAAGCCAAGCTTTCAAATTACTCCTTTAAACATTATGAAAAAGAACATATTCATAGCTCTTTATAAGATACAGTTGACATAACTTCTTCTCCTGGGGCCGCTGGAGCAAAAAGAGAAATCTGTAGACAGTGATGAAACACTCAGATCCTTTTCCCTTATGTTCCCTTATATCCCTGTTCCCATCATGAAAATTGCAGACCAGGGTAAGGAAGCTGATTATCAGTGGCAGCTCTGGAGCCTTTATGTGCCAGCCCCCAAGAGCACAGACATATATATCCATCAGTGCAAGCATGATAAAAATGATTTTATCTGCTTTTTTAACATTAAAAAAACCCTCACAGGGGAAATCCAAAATGAAAAACAATCTGTGGAGCATAAAATCAGGCTTCAGAGAGTAAAACAGTATCATTCCTAAAGAATAACATAAGAATTTTCCCTCTTAATGACATCCAAAAGATCACTAACTTCAAGTTCCTGCTTGCTGCTGCAAAGAGCTTCCACAGTAATCGCATGGCTTAGCAACAGCTGCAGGAGAACTGACACACACTGCAGAAACTCTCCTTCCATGCTGCACTCTCAGAGAAAAAGGCAAGCTCTAAACCAAGCCACAGTTGTAATTTATTGCAAAACCCAAAAAAGTACACTGAGGGGACAAAAAAAAACCAAACAAACCCAAACCAACCCAACAATTTTTTTTAGGTTTTCAAACCCATAGAAAGCAGCTGTTAAATGACTGTGTTGTGGTCTTGGAAATTCAGAAACTCAGACGTCTCTGTCTAAATGCTCAGAGGGTCAGTCTGGGTGGGACATGGTTTGCAAAGTCAGCTCTGCACTCTGCAAGGAGCCAACATCCACAACTCACTGTTCAGGGCCTGGCTGGAAACAGTCACTCCTCATCCTCAGTAACACAACAGCCATGGACAGGACTTTCCAAAGGGTCTCATCCTCATTTATCACCATTTGAAGCAGTTTCCTCCAGAACCATTTGAATCATTTCTCTCTGGAAAGCTGAAAAACTAAACCACGAGAACCAGACACAGCAGGGACCAGTGCAGCTCCTAGAATCTCCTCTTTCCTTTACTGGTCACTTTCAGATTAAAAGCAACCACAAGAGCAAACAAAAGCATAAAACTCCTGCAAGAACCAAACATCCATCCTAACAGCTCCACGTGGAAGAAATGCACAGAGAAATTAGTTGCCAGCTACAGACTAACAGAATGGGTGAGAAAGTAGATATGTTTTAAAGCTCAGTTTACCACAAAGGCACTTGGGTTTGGAGTTCAGAGGAAGTTCTAAACACTGGTGACTACAGAAGGAGGACATGAACAGGAGATGCTCTCAGGCCAAAGGTGAGACAAGAACTGGAATGCAAACACTGCAACAAAGCTCAATAACAAGGGAGTTGAACTTAGAAAAAGAGATCAGCACCTATATTTAATTAGGTGGTTTTGCATTTCCACAGCTCCACTGGTATTTCTCCCTGTCCAAGTTCTTCCATTCCTCATGCCCACAGACTCACTGCCTTTCTAAGGCTGCAGCTGTGCATGGTGGCATTTGACAACAACTTTATCACTTTATCAACTTTTCCTGTTTGGAAAATCCTGCTGAATCAAACACCTTGCCAGAAAGCAAGAAAAGATTTCTTTTTAGTAGTGGTGACTTAAAAAAAGCCAACTCAAACCCCTGGAGCAGTGCTTGTTCCTACTCATACATTACAGAGCACCTTAGAGGGAAATTCTTCCATGATCTTGGAAAAATCTGTCTTATAATTTCAAGTATTAGTTTAGTAAATGGAAGAGTCTGCACCTCTACAGTGACATTCACAAAAAGCAAGTACTTCTAACATGAATCTATTCTCTTTTCAGGGGGATGGGACTACAGAACAACATTAAAAACACTACATTTGCTACATGAAAGTGCTACCTGTTATTTCTGGGTTCCAAAATGGGTTTGCTGTGTTTTTTAGCTGTTATTCTAGTAGAGGGTGGTGGGTTTTTTTCTCTAAGACTCTCATTTACCAAGGGAGCAATAAACTTGTATTTTGTAATGCTAACTTTTTTCCCCTTCAGAAATTCTTGTAACATAAATAGATATTAAATACTTTAAGGCAGATCACTTTATTTAAAATGTCTATAAATATAAAATTCATTAATAAGACTTCTTAATGCTTGTTTTGTGGTTTGACAGTAAACGTAATGGCTTACAGAGAGGAGTTAAGTTAATATACCCCTGACCAGTAATGTTCTATTTGCTTAAATGCAAGCATCCAAGCCAAAATTAACATTCTGGTTTCTTTTAGAGGCAGCCTGCCATCCTGCAGTATAGCTGAATAAGCACTGCCTAATATCATGGGGCAAATCCTCTCCCCCAGCTAACAGTCACTCAAGGCTGACAGCGAGGCAAGAAACAAAGATCCCAAGCAGTCAAGAGTTTGGCTAAGGCCTCCACAAACTACATGATTATCTCTGAAATATGTTTTTCTGAACTATCCTTCAGCTTCTTTTCCTGGGATGAAGGTCAGCTTTCATTGCACAAATGTAACATTGAAATTCCCTTTGATTTCCCTGAATTTCACCTGGTTTTATTGCTACAAAATAAAGGATTTATGCAATGATGCCATCTATGTGTTTGCCTATTATTATTCCTCACTATTTTTTGGTCTTGCCAGTCACTCTCAAGCAGCTTCCTTCAGAGGCCTGAAAAATGTTCCTAAGAGCGTGGGAATGTAGGTGGCCAAAGGAGAGACTCTCCCACTGCTGCTCTGAAGGCTGAAAAGCTGAAACATGAATTCAAATCCTATCAGACATCAGAAAAAACTCACACGAGTGAGCCCCCAGGAGCAATGACTTAACAGTGGGAAGCATTTCAGCTGGACCTTGCACCTGAGGAGATGTCACATGAATGTGTTCCTCATCCAAGAGTCCTCTTCCATGTGCTCTCTCCAGTGTCTAATAAAGGGGTGAGCTCACACTACAGCATCAGAACCAAGCTTAAAAGCCCATCAGCCTAATCCATTGGAAACTAACCTTCAATATTTTCTTAATAAATGGGTTTAGAGAACCCAGCCCATCTATGAGCATCTTCCCACACGAATTTATTCACACCTGGCAAGCTGATGCTGCTGAGATGTTTTGCAGTTCTGTATCCTGGACAGACAACAGGATTCAAAGATCCACAGACATCTTTTGTTTAAGACTTGGTCCATCGGTGTGTTCATCCCTAACAAGTTTCACTGGCTAAAAAAGCTGCACAATACAGAGATCCCCAATGCCCACAATGAAATAATTGACTTGTTGGCATGAGGATCATCAGAAGTAACTGCAGAGCCATGGTGGAGCCCCACCAAATGACAAATGTCAGAGCACACTGGGAGGCAAAATAAAAGGCAGAGGAAGGGACACAGAAAAGCAGCTCATTAATAGAAAAGACTAATCAAACTCCCTACTCCATCAGCCTCCAGGAGGGCTCCCTCACACCAGTGCTTGATGAAGGAACACAAGACCTCTTAAAAAGCTGTTTTTTCATAGCTGGTCTATGCTGAGCATCCATCTCTTCACTGAGAAGCATGACCAGGCAATTACTGTTCAGAACTGCTATTTTTTTCCCAAGCCAATTTGCTGCTCATAAACACCGACAGAGGCACAGTGAGGAGAATGAGCTGTTCCTGGATATTACAATAGCATGGGCAAAGGACTATGAGCTTCCTCCAAGACCTTCTTCGGCAAATGCCTCTGCAAGGACCCCTGTAGCCTCTGAGCAGAGTTCTCCATGTCTCTATCCAATTTAGCCATTACCTCCTTACTGGCACTGCCAACAACTGAGTGAGCATTCCCTGTGGGAGGCTTTGTGTTCCCTTATCAGCTGAGACAGAAGGCGCCACTACAGGGACACAAATTAACATCCACACTTCCCATGAGCCTGCGATTTTCAAAGGTTCCACTCACTCCCAAAAGATATCCTTAGGATTTCTAGAATGATTTTTAAGCCCAACTCCATCAACTACTCATAGGTATGATCAGCACCACTTCGGGCAGCCCTAGAGGTCCTGGGGTGAAAAAAGTGGGATCAGCCAGAAATTTGATGGTAAGTTTGCCACATTTTCTACATCAAGGGAAGCAGCCATTTTCATTGTGTAAAAATCAGAGATAAAAAACATTTTGGACTTAAAGCCAGTTCTTCTGCTAGAAATCAATATGACTGCTAGCTTTAACTGCCTATAACAATGACCCATATCTCTTGTGAAACAGGTGTTCCATTCAAACATTGGAATCTTTAGAAACCCAAGAAACATGTCAGACAAGACCATCTGTCCACTGTGGATTACCCTCCTCCAAGGTAAACCACAGCAGCACCAAAAGCCTGGTCGAAAACACCACTCCTGAGCAACTGTTTCCTAAGTGAAAACTTGAATTTTCAGTTTTTAAAAATGGGTTTTTATTGTGGCAAATACCAGGAATAACACACATGGAGAAGAGGCACATAACACAAGAAAACCAAAACCTTTTCTTGTATCCAAAGGTCAAAACAGTTCTTGGTTTCTTTCTGCTGTCAAGTCAGCTTTACCCTATCCTGGATATGTCCTGCTTACTCTTGTTTCCTCTTTTGAGAGTAAAGTGCCTACTTACCATATTCATAACTGTGAGGATGAACCTCTGGGCAGCCTCTGCTCCGTGGTACTGCACCATGTCAGCATCTGCCACCACCAGTGTCTCCACCGTGTACTCGCTGGTGAGGCGAATCGCGTTCCTCCTCTCCCGCCAGTCACTCGTGGACTTCACTTTTTTCTGTCTCTTCTTTTCTGGAAAGTCAAAATACCTTTTAAGGCTGGCAGATCATAATAAAACACTCCCAGCCTTTTCAACGAACATTGTCATGCGTATTTGGATTGTAACAACCTTTAAAGTGTTCTTGGCTGGTTAAAGAAGCCACCAAGAGGTTCCATTGCAGGCACATCTGTGCCTCTGGGTGCAGAGAGCAGCAGATGATGTGAAAAGAGGGAAGTGGATTGGAAAAAAAGTTCAAGAAAAAGTAAAAAATTTAGTAATTCAAATCAAAATGTTTCAGATAAGTTAAACCTCCCTTCCTCCCAACTAAAGGACTGATGTATTAATATTGTCTTCTTCTAAGCTGAAAGGTGATGTGCAAAGCATCTGAGGCATGACCAAAGGAGAAATTAAGTTCAGATATTAATTCAAACCTGCTCACTTCACTGCAGCCACAAAATTGTGTTCATGCTTTCAATTGTAAAAATAAAGAAGCTAATGAAATAATTAAAACAAATTTATTCTTGCAATAAGAAGCAAACTTCTAAGATTCACTGAAATTATCTCTGCCTACTGTTCAGCCTGTGATATACTATAGATAAGATACTGACACTGCTATTACTATTTTTTCCAGTGGAAAAGGGAACAGAACACACAAGTTCTGAAACAGCACAAACACAACATTCAGTGCAAAACTGACATGGGACAGTTCCTAATGGATGATCAGACAAATCCCTCTTATGTCACACAACATGTGCTGCTCATTCCCTAGAGCAGAGAATCACTTTTTAATTTTCTCTAGATTTAACCTGAGACCCTCTCTGAGCAAAGCAGCAGCCAGAGCTGAGCTGGTGTTCACTGATCCTGATTTTCCACAGCCTGTTTACCAGCTCCCTGACATAATTCAGTCTGAATTTCACTTCTTTCCCAGATCATCAGTTTTCCCTGACTGACCCTCCTGCACTCAGGGTGACAAACTCCATCAGCTGCAAGCCCCTCAAAGCCCACCTGAAATGGACTCCCTGCCTTCACCCATTCATGCATTTTCTGCCTTGTCAATAAGCACATTTCCACACGTCCATCCCATCTCCTCGTTCCCAGTTTTCTTGTAGTCATCCAGTACAACTCTGCACGTGCTTTTCTGCCCAAGGCATCAACTGTCAACACTTGGTACATATTTTAAACTGAGAAAACAACCATGAAATTTGATTTGATTTTTTTTTTTAGAGAGTTTGGAAATATCCCCCTGGGTTGAGAGAGACAGACAGAAGTCTATGGACAAGAAAAAAAAATGAAAATGTGAGGTGATCATAAATAATGGAAGCTACATGCCAGCAGCAAAGATGAAAACAACCAAGTTTCCAGGGCTGTTTTCACATGAGCTGCAGGATAGCTACAGAAAAGCTGTACAATCATAGAAAAGCTGCTACAGAGCAGAGGATCTCTATCATAAAAATAAAATTTAAAAAATTGACTATACAAGAAAGAAGGAGAGTTGTTTGCACCTTTGATTTGCCAACTGTGAGATGGAGATGACTTCAAACTCCCGTGGAGCAGCTCACATATTTGCGTTTTATTTTATTCCTCATTCCATTCATTTCCCATCCCTCCCTCTGCACAGCAGCACATCTTTAGCTACAGGTCCTCAACATTATCATTTAAATACCAAGAAGAAATCAAAGATAAAAGAAAATAATATGAATTATTTTAATAAAAACATTGACATTTTACTGCTATCAATCAGAACCTTCCTGAAAACAGCAGCATTTCCCCATCAAATTCTTATTTTGGCAATCCCCTAATAAATGTTTCTAGGTGGTATAAATCTCTTACCTGTAGAGAAGTTGCTGTTATGGGGGAGCTAAGCCTAGATTCAACTAAGTCTCAGCTTGGCATTGAATGAGCTGTGTAAAAAAGTTTAAGTGGAAGGAAAAAATTAGAGTTCTCTGGATTTTCACTTTAAAAATCTCTTTTTTGGTGGAAAAGAAGACATTTGTATCAGAGGAGGAACCCACACTGCTTGCAGTCGGGGGAGAAGAGGTCATGCCATGGTCATTTGCCAGTGTGGTCCCTCCTCCAGAGGCAGATGAAGGAATTGGCACCTCTTTGCAGCTGAACAAAACTCTGCAAGGTGTGACTTTTGGAGAGCAGCAGCCTAAAGGAACTCCTGGCAAAGGGCTGGGCAGTCTTGGTTCACACACAGCCTCTGGCCCCCTTTCCTCCTGTGGACTGGCTGCTTTCCACCGAGGGGCTGGGATTAGAGGATGTGTGTGGAAAAGCAGCACCCCACAGGCTGCATGGAAATGCAGCCAGAGTGATCTGACAGGGGAATCCAGATTCTTGCTCTTACCCTCACCTTCACACTGTCCAAGTGTAAATTTACCTGCACTTAAAACAGGCAACAGGACTCAAGGGAGCTCACAAAGAGCTCAGGTGGTCACTGTTGAACCCTCCAGAACAGGCACCACAACACCAGCTACTTAAAAAAGGAGAGGTTTTTCAAATTTGTAGTTCCTCCATAGGGTGAATTATTTTATCCTTCCTGTCCACTTTCAGTCTCTCTTTGCATCCTTCTGCCTACCACAAATGCAAATAATTTTCCAGAATAATCAAGCACATGAAGAAAACAAGGCATTTGCATGGATGAAGCATAAAAAAGAGAAAGGAAATGCACATGTCCTGTATCACAGATGTTTGATGAAGAGGACAATCCAAAACCAGCAGGAAAAATCCTCATTCAGTGCACTTGCAGCTCATACCTGAAAGGGAGCCAGCTTTATGGAGGTATGCAAAAACAAAAATACCCCATCTCTAGAGCCTCACTTCAGAAACAAGCCAGCACAGAGAAGTCTCATTCTTGCCCTGCAAGATTTATGGACCATAGGCACAGAATCCCTCCATGAGTACACGAAACCCTGAACTAAAATAAACATCAGCCATTAAAACAAGGATTAAATGCTTGGTGGATTCTTTATTTGAACAAACTGATGTTACAAATTTTGTGGTGCAGATGTTTAAGTGTTAGTGTGAAGGCATAAGAGGCCATAAACCATGGGCAGGAGCTATCAGAAGAGTTTACACTGCAGGGAGCACACAGCACATGATTTTAGGAGTCAGGTGTTCCCTGCTTAAGAGGTCAGAGAATTTTGTATGAAATATGAGCTGAAACAGTCAATCTACAACACAGCATGTACATGCTGCAGGTGACTGGGCACAGGGGATATTACTCTTTGGCCAGTCACTCTGACAGTATGTTACACAGTCTATTGGGCCAAAAAATCCACAGAACCCAGGACTGTGAGGCAAAGGGAGAAGGGTGAGACATCCCCAGATCCTCAGCAAAAAACTGCTGTGACACTGCACAAGTTCATTAGATGACTTTCATTTACCCTTCCCTGGCTCATCACCTTCAAAGCCACATGATCATACCACATCCTGCAGTCTTTGAAGTCTCCCTCAGAATGGGAAGAACCAGAGTCCCCACTGTGATCAGAAGCACAACAAGGCTCCTCTGAGGCCTCTGTAGAAAACTCCTGATGTTCAGTGCTTTTTATGGCAACTCAACAGATGTGCAATTCCAGAGCAACCGCCCCAAATGACCTTTTCCTATTACACACCAAAAGCACTGTCTAGCACTGTCTGGCTTTTGGCAGATTCTTGCTGTAAGTGCAGAGTCCTTTCCTGTTCCTCCTACCTCCCTTCCAACTGTATTTCCCAGACTCATCTAAAAGCAACCTCTTCTCCTACAGCCTTCCACTGTGTTTTCCTGCCTAATCTTTCCCTTTGTAATTTTAGCTACCTCATTCTTGTTAAACCCACTGACAGTTTCTGGATGCTGTTCAACAAAAGCCACAAATAAAAGTTACACTGCTGAATCCTTTCTGCAAGGTCAGGTTTCTCCTTAGAAGTTCTTTTCTATTGCTGCCTTAAAAACCCTCTCCAGCTCTTCCTCAGGAGCCCTTTGCTCCCTTCCCTCCTCCCACGATCCCTTTAACATCTCCACATAACCTTGATGGAGGGCAAGCTCTGTTTTACAATGTTCTGTTACTTCAGCAGCACAAAAAGTAAGAGAGGGTATCCAAGTGGGGCAATGACAAACAGCTAAAATTAATTCTCCCTAAGCCCCAGGAGTTTTCAGAGAACCTCTGGCTGGTACTCACATTAGACAGGTTTTATTAGCTTTACCTAAAAGTAAAAATCATCACCTCTCCAAAGCAAAACAGAAAAAAAAAGGGAGATCCTGCACATAAACCAAGCCTAGAAATTAAAAAAAGGGCGTAATTGAGGTGTATTCTTAGTGCTCAACCTAAAACCCTCTGTCACTGCTGAATTATCAGAGGGACAGGATGCCACAAAATGTCCCTGGTACCAGCAGCAGGACAGAAGCACTTCTCAAAAGATGATTAACCCCAGACATGGAGCCCCTTTGCCTCTGCCAGGATACTGCACAGAAATTATCTCTGCGTCCTGGCCTGTTATTTCTCCACCAAAAACCCTGGAATTTCAGATTCACAGCTAGGTGATGCCAGTGGATTGCCTGAAGTTCAGGAATTACAAATGGTTGCGCATTGAAAGAACAGCTGATTACAGACTGAGAGCTGTCCTCTCATTTTTAATGCCCAGTCCTACAAAACTCCATCTCCAATTTCTCTCTGACTGGAATGGAGGACAAAATCAGGGATCAACTGCTAGGAAAAATTACTGCAGAGCAAAATGATCCATTATTCCATAATTCACCTCCCAAAAATGGTTTTGTTTTGCTTTGGGGTTTTTTTGTTTATTTTTTTTCTCCCAAACAGCCACTTCCATACCAAATCACAAGTTCATGACTATTTCTCTGGCACAGCAGCAAACAAGAACTTGAGACAGAAGTCATGAACTCTGAGCTGCATCTCAAAACACCACTGAGATTTTACTGCAAGGATTGTTATCCAAGTTAGTCTGTGGCTTGGACACATCAGTTAAAACCTTATTCTTCTACAAAACAAACTCAGTCATCAACACAACTCATCAGGACTTTGTTTTAATGGCAGGTCTGTGAGGCAGGACAGGATAAGCACTGTGATCTCTGCTCAATGGCTCAATTTGACACCAGGATTCAAAGATTCTCACTTCCTGGGTTATGTACACCCATCTCCCATGGAAAGGACACTTTTCTGGTGGCACAAAAAAGGACTCACGACAGATAAATAAAACAATTTAGTGGTACAGGAGCAGGTTCAGTGAGCATAGCTTGAGCTGTGGACAGTAATAACATGGAAGAGGCAAAGACACCTAAAAGATGAGCAATCTGCCTTAGTCCAGGAAGCATCTCTCTGCTTTTCTAACCAGAATGACCATGGAACACCCATGAACGTCCCTAGACAAGGACAGAGAACAGTGACAATTGAGCTCATCACCACCTGCCAGGCTGCATTTCACTGGGTTCCAATGGAAACCAGCACTCAGCTTTATCAGGAACCAAGCAAAGGAGGAGCACAGCTGCTCTGGAAGGGGAAAAAATCCATCATAGATGAATACATATTTACACTTTCTTTTTATGTCCCTTTTTCACCTTGACAGCAGAGGAAGAAAAACCTGGAGTCCCTCACAATCCTCATGATCCACACTGAGAGAATCAGTGTGAATCATGAGGACAGACCTGCAGTAAAGCCTCACTTGCCACATGTCATGGAAAAGGACACTTCTGAACATCAGACTGCTGCAGGAGGCTGCATGAGGAAACAATCACAGGCTTGCAGGGAAAAACCCAGACTCCCCATTTGGAAGAGAAGGGACCTGGAAAAACCAAGGGATTTATCCACAGAAGTGAGACACACTCCCATGGGCAAAGTGCTGAGTTCCTGATACAGGGAATCCTTCTGTGCTTGCAAACACTTAATCACATTACATCTTCTGTGGAGCCCATTGTTGAAATCCTGCTTTAATTCTCCAACAGCTGCTTCCTAATATGGACTAATACAGGTTGCATTACATCTCTCTATTTTTAGTGCACATGTTTTTGGCCATAACAACTGCTCTTTCAGGCCAAGTCAAACCTGCAGAGAAAACACAGCTAAGAGACAATGATTAAAGATGGGGAAATGCAACGTAGCAGTAACATGTGTTTAAGATTTATACCTGTTCAGGGAAAGCATTCCCTACATTTGATACCTGTAGACCAGCACTTACTCTAAATTATTACCAGCTTAGATAAATTGTTAAAACAGGTTGCAAAGTAACAAAGTGCAGAAAAGCAACACGTTGTTATTTTGTGAATTAAAATATTGATCTTCCTGTTATTTCACTGTATGTGCAGCACATTTGCATTAAAGGAAAAACTGGTTCATTTAAACTGACAAAAGGGTTTAAAGCAAACCCACATTTAAGTGTAATTTATGAGGTCTATATCATAAACATGAAATAACAACCTTCCCTCCAAAGACAAGCTGCTCTCTCTCATGCTCCTGGACTGTATTTTCATCAAATCCTTTCTATGTAAGGAGACTTTAATATATCACTGGAGACTTTCGGAGAAGTTGTAACAGAATTTACTTTTCCCAAAGAAACAGAAAGTTTTATGACATGGTTAGAGGAGATTCCTATGCTTTCACAACATGGTTTGATTCTGTCTTGAGCATTGATATTTTCTCAAAATCAAGAAAAACTGATTTTTTTTTCCATCCACAGACTCTGATGGCAAAGGAACATGCAAAATATGTGTCCAAATCTCAGTAAATAGTTAACCTACTGTTTTTCCATGATAGTTAAAAAAGAAATAATCCATTTACTGCAGCTGAATCTGTGGTAGATATTGTCACATGGAAACAGCTTTATTGTATGTCACAAGGTCACAGAGACAGGACAATGAAAGAAGCTCTATCTCAGAGGTTGGGCACTGCAAAAATCATGCATGATGCCTTAGAAGAGATCCTTCTCTCCTGCCTGGTTCTTCTGCAGGGAAATTCTTACTTGTATGTATTAAAACCCGCAAACAAAACTCCCTTTGACTCCACTCTCTCCATAGCAAAAACACTTCTCCAGGACCTTTGACAAGAATGTTGTCAGAGCCTGTCTTTACAATGAGAGCAGGGTGTGACAGGAGGTTTGTGCAGATGCTGCCCAGTGTCCAGAGATGAAGTGTTTCACATCACTGGTGTGAAGCTATTTCCCATGTTCCTCAAGACTCCCTGCTCCAGAGCAAGTGAAACCCAACCTTCCCTTCCTTCCCCCTCATTGCATGTGCACCTGGAAACCTTTTAATAGGTTTTCTGTTTGCCTCACAGGGGCTCATGTTCATGCCTGAGCAGAAATGTGCATTGTGACTTCAACTCTCTCTCTCGCTGGATGACAGGTGATAAAAATAAAACATATTCACATATCATATGACTAACAATAGCACCTGGCCCATGGTGACGGGATCCCTCCTTTGCTGCTGGAGCACTTTGGAATTTAAACAAAGGAACTAAAACATCAGCCCTGGGACTTTTTTTAACCCATTAGTAGACACTTTCAGGTTCAAATCTCAAGGATCCAGTCATGCAAAACCTTAAGTACTTTCCCATTCTTGACTACAGCCAGATTAATCCTCTTATACAGATTATTCCAGGAGAAATTTGGCTGCCACAAAGTTCTCCTGCAGACCTAAAAATAATTTTGAGTGCTGCAGGACATGTAACACCACTCAGACTAAAGGAGTTGTTTTAAGAGATTTTAACCACCCCTTATCAAACCAGCCTGATGGCATTACCTGGCCCCAAGCCACTTTCCCTCTCCCAAGGCTGGGGTCTGCAGGGAGAGCACCACATTTCTAGGTGGAACATGGGGCCAATGGAAAGCTGTGCTCTCTGACCCCCTAAGCAGCACTTCCTAATTAAGTTAATTTTGCTTTCTTAAAGTGCTTTCCTGCTCCTCCTCCAAATACTCACACATTACATCACCAAGAACCGTTGTTTATCAAGTTCATATATCACAGGAAATTTGCCACTGAGCAATTTAGCCCTGTTTAAATTTTTATGATGTGATCAATAGTTAGCATTAAAAATTCAGCTGATGTTTTGTGCTTTGATTCCCAAATAACCCCAGATTATGCAAGCTACCTCTGAATTATAGAATTTTAAGAAGAGAATACATGTAGAGGTGGTTCTTGTATATTCAGAAAATACAAGAACAGCAGTACAGGATTGGAAAACACCCAAGCATGGCAGCTCTGAGCCCTTGAAAAATACTCATTTTATACTGTATTTACACAGACCTGTCTTTTTCTGTCCATGTCATTCCACAATACAGGGTTTGTATCTAAGATGTCTGGCATAGAAATATCCCCATGTATTTACAACCTCCAACCTTTCCTGCCAAGTTTCAGCCTGGGTGAGCCAAATTTTAAGCCAGTGGAAAACAACCTCTAGTACAAATCTGACCAGTCCATGTTGGTGAGTATCACTGTAAGGAGACCTTTTCCCAGGAGACACTCTGGAAGCACACCCCTAGATGGTCACCTACACACTTTTTATTAGAAATAGACCTTTTTTGTGTCAGACAGGATGAATTTTTTTTGTTTCTAAACTCCTTGAGCACAAAAGTTAATCCAAAGCAGACAGGAGGCAATTAGGTCGTTAAGGTGCTGAGCCTATTAACAACCATGAGTTACATTTGTGTCCCTCAACAATGACAAATATCCAGGGGTCTGTCTTTAAGTGGGAAAGCCCACAACCAACTGCATTATTTCAGGACAGGGCTACTGCCAAGCAGCACTGCAGGGGCTTGGCTCCCTTCTTAGCACAGCAGAAGGAATCAGCACCCAGGGGATGGGAATTCTGTTCCCAGCTGTAGCAGTGGGTCCCCAGAAGCCTTCAGGAAGGATGAGGTGCCAATGGAAATACTCTTTTTTCAGTATCTTCTTTTAGTATCTTCATGCTCACTCAGCTCCAATTTCCCTTTGTGATCCTGTGTAATTATTGCCCAGTGTCTCCCCAATTTCCTTCCTTTAGTTCCTCCTCTCAGGGAAGGAATTCCAGTTCTGCCAAGGACAGGGAGCATCCTTGCCCATAGAAAAAAGGCCAAAAGGTTCAGTGGCCAAAGGGTGAGGCTGATTTCCTAGACTGATTCTGATTCAATTCAGATTTTAACTAATGGCTGTTTCATTTTACAGTGTAAGAATTCTGAAATGCATTTTCTGTTACCACAGGGCTGCAGCACCTATGGAATTTGGCTGGGAAATCAGAGCAGTGCTGAATTCTGATGTTTTCTCTGAAAAGAGTCATAAGGGATCTGTAACTGTAACCAGATCCAAGATTTCATCCTCAGAGAATCAGAAAGAAGATTGGCTTAGTTTGAACCCCTGAGAATGATAAACTTGCTGAACTATTAAGAGCTCAGCTCCACGCAGGAGAAAATAAAGGTCCTGGCTGCAGGATTTACCAGCAGCACTGCCAGGGAGGATGCAGCTTAGAAGCAGGCACAGGTTAAACACAAAAACTGAAATACAAAGCCTTACAGGCAAACTTCAGCTTCCTGGCTGCCTGTTCCAGTGAGCTCCTTCAGGAGCTATTCCCACAAAGAAGCTTTTTGTGCCTCCTGTTGCTGCCACATCCTTCCATGTCCAACAGCAGCCCTTGTCCCTGAGCACTCAGCTCTTCCCACACCAGTGATTCTCACTCCTGCACCCAGAAAACCTCCCATCCAGGAGAAGGCAGGAGAAAAATGAAAGGAACAGAAAATACAGGGAAACTGCAAACTAATGAAAAATGTTCACAAAGTTCATAAAAAATACCTGCTCTGCAACACACCCAGAGAGAATTTGAGAAAGGATAAAATTAAATTGCTCTAAAGAAGCCAAAAAATAGTTTATACCAGCTGGCAATTTGACTGTTTGGCTTTTAAAGTGGGAGAAGACAGGACATGATTAATGAACAGAATTGGCCATTTTCTCCTGAAAAATGATAGCAAATTATAATATATGATATAATAGCTATTTTATCAGATAGCACTTAAGTTTGATGAGTCAAACACCAGATAGAAAAATCAAGCTCCTAGTTAAAAAAAAATCATCTTGCTGAACTACATTTCATAGCTCCAAATGCACACAAGCCCTTACAAAAGCAATTAAAAACCATAAAATAATGCAAAGTCTGCTCAGTTGACCCTGATATGGATCGTGTGCTCTGCTAGACAGAACTAAGAATGACGGCATGAGAAGCTGAAAAAGAAAGCAGATTGTTTTGAAAGACAAACTGTGCATATCTTCCACCTCCAGATATCCCTTTATCCTATTATAAGCTGGATCCCTGGAGTTGTATTCCACAGATGAAACTTCAAATTATAAGTTATAATTAATTAAGTTATATCAAAATAGCTGAAGTGATGTTTTCCACACTCCAAAATGGGAGGATCACTATTCTATCTCTGCTTGCTTAGGACAACTCCAGTGGAAAGGCAAGATGGAAGAGCCCACATCAACACTGCATTCTGTCCTTTGCTTAAAGTCCAGTGAATCCCTCCCTGAGCAGTGGTCACACTGCAAAATTAGAGCAGAATTAATGACCTTACAAGTCCAGTGTTACAGCACGTGCCCTGACAACTTCATATCTGTGATGTGACTCCTGCCTGAAGAAGCAACAGGATTCACTCACACTTGCCATCCTTCCCCAGCTATGGCTGCCCAACCAGCAGAATTACAAAATACAAACAGAATTCCCATGGCTGCTCTCTGAAGCCACTCCAAGCTCACCTGCTACAACTTTGCAGTGCTCCTCAGGGCCCTGTGGCTTGGTGGGATGGCCGGGTTTTGTGGATCGTCTCCGCCTGATGAAATGCTCCTTCCCACTGAATGAGGTCTCAGATGCATTCACAGGTTGGATCAGCAGCTGCTCTGATCCAAGCTGGATGTAGCCAACCTGTCCACAAAACAGAACAAAAAAACTCCATCAGTTTGGTAACTGAGCCTTGTCTATCCAGCCCAATCTGAAACCCAGGTCATTTCACTGCAATCATTTCCAGTGTGAGGAAATGATGTCATGGTTGTGTTCAGCCTGGGTGATACAGACTAAAAACTTCATTTGCTTCTCTTATTTATTTTTTGTATCACTGAGCACTATTTAGAAACAATGCACTGTACTTGCACAAAGGAAAGGTGGGGATTCCTGTCAGCACTTTTGCTTTCCCTTCTTCCGCTCCCTCCAGACACAGCCCCACAAATATGTGTGTTTTACAACATGCTCAGCTCACATGAGGACAAATAAATCCTGTTAACAGAAATCCCTTTAAAATCACCTCTCCAGCTGCCAGGATTGCCTTGCTATTGAATGACATTTACTATCTCAGAGCACAGAGGTGCCACTGCCTGCACACAGGCGGCCTCTGTGTGTACCAGCCTCACAAGGAACACTTGAGAAAACTGATGCCAAGTTTTTTGGGACCAAATACCTCTTCCTGACTACATTGAGGACCACATAGTCAGCTCTGCTCTCCCTGCAATTCCATGGGTTGGATTTCTGAGGTGAAGTGAGGAATGGACTGTTGCACTGTCCCAGTTTCAGGATTTTCCACCATCTCTGGAATAAGTGACACTAGGAAGGCAAAGACCCTGCCTAAATAACTCCACAGAGCCCAGGTCAGAGCAGTCAAATCCCTGCCTTCCTTGCACCAAGTCCAGACCTTACACCAGGGCTGGCAAGAACACCTTTGGAAGCCAGCTTCTGCCCCAGGAGAGCCCTCCTCTGCTCACAACCCAGAGCTTTTAAGGTTCTTTTATACTTTTTCCACTCCTTTTCTGGCATGAAAAGAAGAGAGTGAAAGCAAAGTTATCACCTTAAAACTTAACAAAGCCTTCAGGTTTAGTAATCAACACCGAGGTTGTAACACTTTGCACAAAGTGAGTATTTACAATGAGGGGCTCTTACTTTTCATTGTACTAATCCAGTGATTATTTATATTGCAACTAAAAGTCTCAAAACACAGCTCTGCCATGTATTTCCCCCTTGAGAGAAGTCTTGAGGTCCAATTTAACTTCTGTTAACAACAGAAGGGCTCATCTGGTCTGCCAGGATTGTGCACCTGAGAGGTAAAGGTGCTTCCAGTGAGCTCCAACACCTACCCTATACATAAAAGAGGGGCCAGACTTTTCTGATCCCCCCTCCCCACGTTCTGTGCCAGCCAGGCAGCTCTCCAAAGAAATGCTCTGCACGTACATCCAAATGCTGTATGTTCAACAGCTGACTGTACTAATATGATTTATAATATACATTACATACACACTATATATTGTACATTTCCACACCTCCCTGCCAAATTCGGTCCTCACGTACACCCAGGAAATCCCTTTGGCCCAGTATTTCCAGCAAGAGGAATTTCTGCTAGCAGAAATGAGAGCTCTCCTCCCTTGACAGCCACACAAACTGAACAGCATTCAGAGGAAACCAGGGTGTCTCAGAAAGGGTCACTGATTTCCAAAGAGCACTTGGACAAAAATAAAGCTGTAAAATTTGGTGTCTCCACTGATCATGGCTGCAAAGCACAGCAGAGACAATCAGTCTCTGAGGAAACAAGAGACACCTCTTTGGGGGCCTTCCAAAAGAGGTCATGCTCTTGGAGCAGGGGAATTGCTTAAGGATAAAATGCCTTGGCACTTCCTACCTACAGAGAAAACCCAACATTATTCCTAGGACCTACAAAATGCTTACCAGTATACAAGACCCACTCTGCCCTGGAGTGTCCAAAGTGCTGCCTTTTCACTTAAATCACAAGCTGGGCTTTGTAAGAAGTGCTTCAGAGACAGTAAAAGCTCTGGTGACTTGTTCTTCCAGCCTCCTTTACGATGCTCTTCACTACTTCCCCTCCTTGTTCCAATCCTCCTGCTGGGAGGTAGCCCCAGCCCCCTTTTTTAATATAGGTTTTAATTATTTAGAAGAAGGGTTGTAAATCTGGTGCCATGGTACTAAAAGCCATACCAGAGCTCCTGACAGACTGCCAACCATTTCAGCTGGTGCCAAAAATATGTAAGAAGAAGTCAGTTTCATCACCACCCGACATTATCCCAATTTTCTGGCATCAAGAGTAAAAATAATTTAAACCACTGGAAAAGACTTATGTTTCACATTTGCTGTGGAATTGTGAAACCTATGGAGAGAAAGAGCCATGAGTCTTCACCCTGGAATACGTTGGGAAACATCTCAAGCTCAATCTGACAAGGCAAATAGAGTTTCAATCAGGGTTTGAAGGATCAGGCCTGTACAGTATCCCTAGGGAGTTAAAAATTTCCCCACACTTGACAGTTGGGTTCTGAAAAGTCCCCAGACCTGTTGGCCCAGAGAAGATCTTTTGGACCCTGTAATTTGAACTGTCTGGTCATTATTTTGCTTTTTCCATAAGAAATTAATTTCTCATTTGCACCCCTTAAATCCTCCAGATCCTGCCCTGTGCTAATCCCAGCATGAGAGATCAGACATCAGCCCTGGACAAAGGCTCTGTGCTTTTCTTCTCTTTTCTGTACGAGTTGAGGGACTGCAGAAAGCTTTGGATTTTGAAGATAAGGAAGTAAAACAGAAGACCATGTAACCCTCGGAGCTACTTTTCCCACATCTCTGGAAATCATTCCAATTAAGTGAAATGCTTTGGATTTGCCATTTCCCATTTGCTTGGGGAGATGCATATCAAAAGCTGGGATTCTCCCTCCCATCCTTCTCTCCCTGTGGGAGTTCAGGACCTGCTGCTGTGCCAGATCCTGGGATAGCTGAATTTTGGGAAAAGCAGATGCTGCCCAACCCCACCATCCTGGAGAATCTGAGACACAGGAACACAAAAAATTTCAGAGGAGTGCAGGGGTTCACCATCATCTGCATTAATTTTACAGTTAGTATGGCCAGACCATGCAGCTGACAGAATCCTGCAGCTCTGCTAACAAGAAAGGCTGGAATGATTTCAGCCTCCAAAGGCAGGCAAACTGACAAGTTGATTAAAACAAACAATAATCCACACTTCCCACTACAGCCCCACTCACCACTGTGCTTAACAGTGGCAAGATCTTTCACATTAAGGATATTTCATATCCTTATTTTAGAAGTCAGCTCAACATTGCTCACCACCAAAACATTCCTATGCTCTTATCCAGGGTTTCACACACACAGTGGTCACTCAAGCAACCTGCTCACGTTGTTCTACTCTTTTACCACCAGTAGTTCACTCTTTTGCTACAAATCATTTTCCAGTGGAGCTTTTTTGGGCTAAATGACAGCAGGGAAAGGAGGAAGGTCCTCACGCTGTGTCACTGAAATGCCAGTGGTAACACAGCCTTTGTATGACCCCATCCTGCTTCCTTGGCTTCACTGCTCTGTCCCTGTGCCCTGGTAGTGCTGGTGGAGCTACAGCAGCTCCAGGACCTGCTCAGAACAGGATCCAAATCCTCCGTGTTCTCTGCACATGGTTCTTGACCTTCCCACATGTTAACACTCTCCAACAGTTACACTGTTTTTCCAGCCCTTTTTATTTTCACAACATCTTTGAAGGAGATCTGTGAAATGCTGAATCTTTAACAGATTTTTCTCTTGCTCCTAAGTGTTCATTAGTTACATACATACCAACACGCTGAAAAGAGAACAGACTTAAACATCTGACAAATTCCATCCCCTTCTCAATTTCTCAACTGTTACGCTGTAAATCGTTGTTTAACCATTTCCTCAAAGTTAAAAGGAAGTTAATGTTTAAAGTGAAGAACAAAACAACCCACAAATACAGTTTAATAAACTTCATGTGGGTTTTAGTCCCACCCTCATTAACCATGTTTCAGCTTTGGTTGGTTATTATTTAAAAGTGCAACTCAAGCAAATTGAAAAGAAGAGCTTTAAATTAAGTTTTGTTCCAGAGTAATTTCAGGTTTACACTCAACTCTGAGAGCAGACCATACCCAGGAATATCTGTCCTGGCCTCCAACACTGCTAAACAAGGAAACCCCAACATGTTCTCCCTCTTGTCCACTGTGGAAGAGGAAAGAAAATCCCAGCACAAGGAAATCCAGCAGAGTAATTTTAAGAGGTTTAACTTTTCAGCTCATGGCCCAGCTATGGATGAATGCCAGACAGCTCCTCTCCCAGACAGGAGAGTTCAGCGGAGCTGAAGGTTTCCTCAGGGGAAATTGTATCATCTTATAATCCCCACACGCCTGCTCTGCCCTGCTTCCCACAGCAGCAGAGGCTCCTGAGTCACCTGAAGGGCAGCACCGCCCTTGTGCACACAGAAAACACTTCACTGGCCAGGGATGGAGCTCACCGAGCTGCAGCATCAGCTCTGAACCAGGCAGCACCTCCCTCTGCAGTGAATGAAGGAGGGCAAACTCCTCCAGAGGGGCAATTCACCAACCTAAGGTACCTATAACACAAGATGAACCATCAGGGAAGTGCCTATCTTTATCACTCACTCAGCCCTGGACAACCAGACTGGCCTAAACCTCCCAGACTGTGGCCTCTTCTGTATCCTTGCTCCTCTTTTCCCATGGACAGAGCATTTACTGTTTTACCAGGAGTGCTTGAAGTTACTGCTCATTCCCTGGAGGCTGCAGTCCAAGCTACTCAGTTCTCTTTGCCCTCACTGCCCTTCCAGACAGGATCCAAACCTATACCAGGACATCCTGCAAGGCACACCCACCTGTGAAATCAGTGGGACCTCAGAGGAAGAAGTCCTGATAGATGCTCTTATCATCTGTCCTTGTCTACATCTTACACCCTCACAAAGTTTATGATGGTCCCAAGTGAACAGAACATACCAGAATGAAGACCTACCATCCAGAAATATTTTAACAGGCTGGAAGATGCAGGAAGTTTAACAAAGGGAAATGTACACAAAGCTTGGAAGAAAATAAGCCCTTTTGTTGTCTGAGTAGATTGTATGAGACTACAAAATATTTAAGTTTTTCCAACATCCAGAGTGCATCTCTTAAGGTATAGTTTCAATTAGTCTATTCTGCCCCACAAAGAGAAAAGTCACCATTCTCACTCCATGAGCCCTTGTAATGTGCATCATCCATTTCCATGCAAAAAGTTCAAAGGAGAAAAAACTGGGGTGCTAAAATGTTAAATGTTATATGAACTAGCCTGAACAGGAGGGAGGCACAAACTCCTCTCGTACTTCAACTGAGAAGGACAAACCACTTTATTTAGAGACAAGACAAAGAGCAACCCTGAAGCCAAGATCAATGACTCTGGATTTTAAAATGGAAGAGAAATGATTTAGACTCAAACCTCTGCCTCTAAATGCATCCCAGTGATTTTCACCTTTTGGTTCCTGAACAGTTTTCAACAGTTTCATTTCTAAGTATAATGTTTATTTTAACATGGACTCATGACCCTCTTAAAACTGTAAATGTTTCCAAAATGTAGGTACAAGAAACGTGAGACGTCCATACCTGCTGTAAGGGGCTGATGCTGCAGTCCAGCACTTCAGCATGTGACAGTAACTCAACTGTGGCTTTACAGACCTGGAACTTTCCAAAAAATAAAGTTCCTGTACTGGCTGTTGTCTTCTAGTGATGGTCCCAGGGGCTGCAGAACTGCCTGTGAGTGCCCTGAGCTGAGCTGAGAGAAAGCCTGTGCAGCCCTGAGCTGTGGCCAGAATCCCAGGGCTGGCACAGCTGCACTCCCCAGAGGACAGCACTGCCAAGGGGAAGGCAGCAGCACTTTCCAGGAACACTGTGCCTCCACTGTGCTGAATTCCCAGCTTGTCACAAGGAACAGGAGGGCTGGAGCTTCCTCACATGAGGTACTTTAGCTTTACCTAAATGATGAGACCTTAGGGTACAGCAGTCCTTACCTCCCTCTGACCTCACACAGCTCCGAGAGCACTGCCACCCTTCCCAAAGCAGGAAACTACAGCAGCCACACACTGGTTAACAGCAGCATCTGTGAGCAGAGCTTAGAAACCAGAGCCCAACCTTCAGATGCCACACTGGGAATCCGATATCATCACCAGGAAGTAATTGCTCAGTCTGGCTGCAGCTCAGTTTTCATGCCACTGTGTCAGGGATTTTGTTTTTACTAGAACTCTACTTGCCCTGATCATTTTATATCACTTTTGGTATGATTTATGGCACAGCTGAGAGTATGATTACAGCAAGGCCTGAGCCAGCTGTAGATCAGGACACAGCATTACTGCCCACTCTTACCTCTTAGCAACCAGCTTTTCTGAAGGAGATATCCTGATCACCCAGCTAGAGTCCAATGAGCATTCCCCTGCAGGAATTTTCAGGAAACCCCCCACTGCAGCACTAGAACTGCTCAGAAGACAAATGCCAGGACAAACAGGCTGCAAGGTTTCCACTACCAAGGTCTTTCCTCTAGCCCAGCAGTTCTGGCCCATGTCCCACCTGTGAAGCTGCTGCTGAAGGCAAAGCCTTATTCCTTCTGCAGCAAACAGGGCTCAAGGAAGCAATGGAAAAATAAAAAAAAAAATTGAACTTTTAAGAAGTGATGGTCTTAGTATTTTAGATTGCCAGACTACAAGGCAAAAAAAAAAATTCACCTGCTCTCAGTTTAACTCATGGCAGGTTAAAGATTTTCTAGAAAATTTGGGGCAAACTTTTGATTCCTCTGGTCCCAGAAAATGTCTTGCCACAAAACTGCACAACTTTCACTTATGGGTATGCTGGTTTAGTGTGGCCACTGCAAAAGGCTCTGTGAACACTGCGAAAACAGCCTAAAATGTGAGATATTTCATGTTTAAAGACAGACTTAAGAAACTGTGGTCCACTTAGCTAGAATAAGAAGGTTTGTCTATATGGTGGTATGGATTATTTCAGTGAAACCATTTCAATAATTAATGAGGTTCATCTTAAGTTTATTTTCATCCATCTTAAGTTCAGGCTCATCCTCAAGACACTGGAGTTTTCTGTTCTCTAGTTTTGAGCTCACAAGGGTGTTATAAACCCAACTCACTGAAATGAACCATGCACCTGCTTTTAGCCCTCTCCCATTCCTGGTGATTATCTGAATCAGGATGATTATTTGAATGAGGAGGATGAATAGATTCCTCTAATAGGAAAGGAGTATCCCAACATGCAGAAACATCTCTCTCTCAACATATCTGCCCATACCACTCTCTGCACTTGCAGGACCAGGTGCACAGGCAAAGGCAAGCAGAGTTTACCAACACTGTCACCAACACACAGGGCTTTGGTCTCCAAGAGATGGCACAAACCAGCAGCTTTGACACTGATCCCAGGCTGATCCAGCTCAGTTATGTCAATTTAGCCACTGCTTAGAACTGCCGTGATACAAACAGGTACTGCAATATTGCTGTTCACTTTTGCTGAGTAGTGAGCAAAAACTAACTAGTCTTGTCTCTTTTTCAGCTTTTCTACTGGGAATTTTGCCAAGATTTTTTACCCCCTCCTCCATTCCTTGATCTCAGGCAGTTACTACTGTACCTACAACTACATTCCTCTTTTTTTAAAGGTTCCTCCTCTGCTTGTTTGTGCTTTCCAGCTTTGGAAGCCCAGCAAGATTAACAAAACACACCTGGTGACAAAAGCGTAGCACTGTTAGTGATTTAAGGCTTGGACCAGAGATATTAGTTTTAAGCCTCCCTCGGTGGAACTCAGCTCAACTTCCAGTGCCACTCAGACCTCAGCATCTCTGTTGGGTCTTTTTAATCCTGAGGCACAGCGCCCTCAGATGGCTCCAGAACGAAGGCTGGAGCCCCGAGGGCAGAGCGTGAACTGCTTCTCACTACGGTTTAAGGATAAATATCCATTATCAGGTCTGTTCTGACAAGCACATTTCCCAGGACCACTGCTGGGAGTCACTGCCTAATGCCCCACTGACTTCCTGAAGTACTTTCAAGTTATCAGCAATAATTGCAAACTACTCAATGTCTTAAGCATCTCACCCTTCACCACTGAGAAACTTTCTGTCCCACACAGGATCACCTGCTTCCACCAGGATGCTCAGAGGAGAGCCAGGCCCTGCAGAGCCATCTGAAACTACAGCCTCGGGCAGAGAAACCTTGACACTTGTAGTGGGAGCAGGTTCCCAGACCACAGCTCCCAGTGAACACCGATGGCAGGAGCCTGGGAAGAGCCAGCTGCACAGCTGCCACAGGATCAAACCAGGATGGCACCAAGTCATCCCCTGCCCCGTGGCTGGGGGACAGTGACACAAGGTGTTCCTTTCACCGAGACTCCTCTACAGCACCCTCGGGCTTTGCGGCCCACCCACAACGGAACCGCTGGGCCTGAGGCCCCTCAGGCATGGCTGAGGCAGCTCCACAGTGGAGAGCCAAGGTGGGCAGAACACCCACCATGGGCCAGCGGCAGTGCTCGGCAGGGCCCGGGAGGTGAGGGGACAGCGAGGGTCACCTCGCTGAGGGCAGGTGAAGCACAGGCATCCCGCCTCATCGGGCTGTCAGTAGCAGCCCATGAAGGGGAGAGGGGCGGGATGGCGGTGCCAGCCCTGAGGAGGGGAGCGGGGCGGGATGGCGGTGCCAGCCCTGAGGAGGGGAGCGGGGCGGGATGGCGGTGCCAGCCCTGAGGAGGGGAGCGGGGTGGGGTGGCAGTACCAGCCCGGCGCAGGTGCTGAGGGAGGCGAAGGAGTCGCTGCGGTTCAGCGCGTGTCCCGAGTAGAAGCAGAGCCGCNCATTGGTGGCGGCGGCCGCCGGGACACGCCCCCCGCTTCCCCATTGGCTGCGCGCCGGCTGCGCCGCGCGGGGGGAACGCACGTGGGCGCGGGTGGCCGACAGGGGGCGCCCTCTCCTGCCCCGGCCCGGCCTCTGAGGGACCGGAGGGGCGCTCCGGGACCCGGTGTCGGTTCGGGACCCGGTGTCGGTTCGGGACCCGCGGGGCCACTGGGGACATCCCGGCCGGGTCACGGGGTCTGACGGGCGGCATCCTGCCGCTGGGCAGCCCCGTAGAGTTTCTTCATCACTAATTGAATTTAGACACTGCTACAGCAGCTCGCTTGTGAAACTCACCCATTCCCTTCCCAGCACCATCCGCAAGACCGGTGCCAGGGCTTGGAAGACCAGGAAAAAGAATGAAGTTGGCGATATCATAGAATGGATTAGGTTGGAAGGCACCACAGAGGGACATCCAGTCAAACCTCCCTGCTCAAGCAGGGTCATCCCAGACCACAGTATATGGACTCACATAGATTTTGGGCAATGATCCCACATACTCCTGAAGCACTCATTACATCGATGAAAATACGAAACAAGTGCATAAAGCTCAAGAAATATAAAAATTTATTTTTGCTAGCAATTCCCATTTTCACTGAAGTCCTGCAGCCACTGGAGTTCCTTCCCACCTGGCTGGGCCACATCCTGCATGCCCTCAGCTGTGCAGGCATCAGGAGAACTCGGTTTGGACAGGGGCTGTTGAAAGCACGAGGGTGATTTTCAAGAGCAGAAAGGTTTCTGCTGTGTTTGGTGGGCTTTGGATGGGATCCTGTGCTCCTGGCATGGCTGAGTCATGGAAAGCAGTCAAGACCCAACCTGTTAGCAGCTTTAAATTGTGGTGGCCCAGCAGAGCAGTGTCCTAGAGTTTAAACTTCTACAAAAATCTGCAATTTTGTTACTGAAATTGTAGAGGAATTCAAAGGAAGACCCATAAAAGAGTGTGAATGACTCTGGCAGATCTCCCTGCAGCACTTCCACGAGACTTGTCCAGAGCTATACTGACAGCAGGAATGGCTCCGAGTTGCAAACAAGCAGAATTAGGTTTGGATGCACACCCCAGGGAGAGCAGGCACTGGCAGAGTGCTGAGAAAAGGGCTGTTTGGAGCTGGGAAAAGGACTGGTGAGAGACAAGAGCATGTTAACACCATTCTCTTTCTTCCAGGCATTGAGCAGGCAGCAAGGGCCACGTTTCCTTAGCGAGCTGCTCCTGTACAAGGAGAGAGGCTGTTTGAGAGCCAGAATCTTGGAGATGCCTCCAGCTCTTCACACTGCTGGCTGTGCTTCTCCCAGGCATCAAGGGACACCCCATGGCACACTCAGAAAGCCCTGCCCTGCACAGGACTTCTGCAGCACCTTATGGGCACAAGAGCATGTTCCAACTCCTGCTGTGGCCTCAGGAAAGCCTCTTGTCCCTCCAGTGGGGTATCACTTGGAGGACATTCCCTGTGGTCAGCTGCAAGAGCTAAACTGAGGACCTGCAAGCAGCTCTCAGCAGGCAAAATCAGAGTAAGCCAAGACCCGTGGCTCACACTCTTCATTAAAATGAGATCAGGTGAGATTTAATAGCTCTGTGTTTCCCACTCTTTCAAGGCTCACTCTGCTCCTAATAAGAATTTACCGAAGTAATGGGACTGGCCCAGACCCATTCAAGTGAGACAAAATCTCAGTTTGGGGCTGCCCTGCTCTGTGTCAACAGTGTAACATAACACGGAAAACAAAACCTCAGAGCCTGAATTTCCCTCCTGACCCGTTGTGAACCAACAATTTCACTGCCTCCCCCCAAGGGCAGGGCCCCGGCTGGCACAGAGTGGGGCAGAGCTCCCCCACAGCTCCTCCACCCGTGGCAATCCTCTGCTCCTGAGAACCACGAGGCAATTTGATTTGTGAGCTGCCAAACCTGGCCTGAGCCCTCAACAGCCACGTTTAAACCCAGACCACCAGCTGACTTCATTTGCTAAGGGACTGGAGCTGGTGCCTCCAAAGGGTTTGACGAGGGGGATTAGATTTGTTTAACTTTCTAGTAGATCCTTTCTCCCACCTTCCAAAGTCCTCTGCCAGAAAAATAATAACAATACAGAGAAAGAATAAATTTAATAGTGTGGGGGAAGAGAGGCACTAATAAAGAGAAGTCTGTAACTTACTGCATGGAAGGACTTGCTCAGTGGCTGGGTTGGCTGGCACAGACTACACTGGAGTATGGGTAATCCCAGTGGAGCATCCCAGACTTACAGAGCATTTGGACAGGAGCCCAAGAAGCTGGAAACCCCAGGACAGGGACAACATCCCAGGCAGGCCTCGGTGTTGCCAAGGGCTGGAGCCAGGAGCGAGGGACAAGCCCCACAGTGGTACCCACACAACAAAGGAGGAATCTGTCTTTGGAGCAGCACTGGTGGTTTTCTTGAATGCAAATCCCAAAGTTCCAGGGAGACACAGACTCTATTAATTGAACACCATGGGCTTTTCAGAAATGCCTTTCAATTGTTACTGATAAGGATAAGGTGTGTGTGGCAGGACGGGGCTGTGGTGCTGCTGTGGTGGCTGCGCTGTTCCCCTGCTACCAGCCCGTGTGGGGAGGGAAAGGGGGGGTGTTTCATCTCACCATCACAGAGGTGGATTTGGCCCTGCAGTTCCTAGGAAACAAGCACTTTCCCCCTCTGAAACTGCTGTTGGGGTAGGTTTTTTTTCAATTATAAATGTGCATTGAGGAAGCCAAGTTTCATGGCCATTATTGCAGAGTTAATAACCCTTTGGAGACTGCAGACATGTGTTATATCCATCTTCCCAAGCAGTCACTTGGCTCACCGCCTGGAAAATGCCAGCATGGGAAGAGTTAACTTGGCCTCTGCTCAGCCTTCCTCCTTCTCTCCAGCCACCCTTCTCCAAACCCTTCCTGTCCTGGTCCTCTCCCCGACCTCACAGGTGCTGCTCTCCTGCCGGGACACTCGGATGCTTTTCCTGCTCTCCCTGCAGCTCCTCCCCTCTCTGCAGCCTTTGGGAATCGGGAATTTCCTCCCCTCCGGGGGCTGCAGAGCTTGGCCGGGCTGGTTGGGCACGGGCCTGGCAGGTGCTGCTGTTACCTGTGCAAATGACCCCACAAAGAAGCCAGAGACACTTTAGTGACAATTAGGGACCAACAAAAACTCTTTTGTAACTTCAAACCATCAACCAAATAAATACAAGTAGTTTCAGAGGTGCCAACAGTGGTTTTCTTACAGACTGCCTTTACACGTGGAGCCAGAGGTTCAATTAAAGCTCTTCTCTGGGTGGAGGGTGTTTCAGGCTGTGCTGCTTCATGCTGGATTCACTTCTTACAGGTGGTCTCAATGATCTTTAAGGTCTTTTTCAGCCTAAACGATTCTAAGTGGAATCACCAGCATCAAGCACTGTTCATGCAGCCCTCAGCAGAGGCACTTAGGAGATTTCTCCTTACAGCAACCCGAATTCTCCCAAGTCTGCAAGAGAAAAACTCTCTCTGGGACACCTCTCTCAAGTCTGGCTCAAAATGGACAGTCTGTTCATGAGCTCCTGGGAGCAGAAGAGCAGAAAGAAAAGTGACAGTGACCCTGGAGGTGTCCAGGGACAGAGCTGAGCCACCAGCACCTGTGTCCTCAGGGGAGCAGGCAGCCTGGGCCAGTTCAGCTAAAATCATGGCAGGAGAGCTGTCCTTGTCTTTCTCCAGCAGGGAACCTTATCCACAGGCTGACAAAGGGTCCTTTTTGTCACAGGGAGTTTGCTGTGGCTGAGCTGTGTCTGTCTCACAGTGAGTGCATCACATGGAGTTTCCCTCAAGATCTTCCCTACAAACACTTCCCCTCTATCTCCAGGGGGCTCCCAGCTTCACCTAGCTGCAATGGGGAAAACACCCTGTTTCCATGGAATACTGAGAAATGAGAAGAAAAATACTCCTGTGGGATAGGGGCTGAGGAATGGACTCCTGAAATTCCAGGTTGCTTCACATCTGGCTCCATTTCCACCCTGGTGCCACTGCTGTCTGTGCAAAACCTTCCAGGGTAACTTTGGTGCAGATTTGGAGGGATCAGTTTGCAACTCTGTCAGGATCAGAAGATAACTGCACACAGGCCACTATGAGTGAGAAAAGTCAGGAATATAAAAGAACATACTCCCAGCTGAGCAACACAATGGCAGGGTGCTGGGAGAATCCGCTCCCTCAGGGCAGGCAGCTCTTTGTGTAGAGAAATCAGAAATGGAAGTGCACCACCACCTCCAGGCAGGCCATGCTGGGATTTCAGCCACAGACAGGACTAGTCCAGGTCAGTTTGGGATCAGGAGGCTGTGCACAGATAGCCATCGGCCAGGCCAGAATGGTCAGCCACGCGTCACTCCCCAGGCATGCGGGGACAAACGGACAAAGCAAAGAGCTGCTGTTGTTTGACCCCAAAGTTCAGCCAGGCTTTTTATGAAGTCCAGCACTGCCACCTCTGATGATGTTATCAGGAACCTGGGAATAGCTGGCACTTTTTTTTGTTATGATTTATGGTTTGTTTGGGTTTTCCCTCTCTGGACCTTGGCTCCTGCAATCATGAGATTGATTTCTCATTTAACTTCATGTTTGACCCCCTGTCAGGCTGGAAAAGTGAGCTAGGAGAAGCCTAGAAGGTTTTTTCCCAGGAGCAAATTAAGAAGTTCCCAACCATGGGATTGTTTAAGATAATCTTGTCTTGAAAATGATGCTATTGATTCTTTTTGTGTGTGTGTGTGTGTGAGGCAGAAGTTCTGAATGCTTGGAGCTGACAATGGCAAAGCCCTTCATGGAGGTGCCACCTCCCTGGCACTGGCAATATCCCACATCTGATGCTCCCCATCTCCTCTCTGTCATCTCTCTTTGTATCCAACACCTGCCTTGGGTGAGGATCATCCTCCCAAACCGAGTATTTCATATAAGGCTCCTCCTTCTCTGCATATTCCTTGCAGCAGGACACAAGGAGCCAGGGAGGGAGATTTGTAAGCCAAGAAGGTGGTGCATGGCTTGGAAGAGGTGATGCCAAAGGGATGCACAAGGCATTTCATCCATCTGCATGGATGGCTACTAGAGCCTGGACTGGGTGGTCCAATCCAATTGCACAGACATAAAGTGGCTCCTCTCCACCATGAAAGTACTAATAAGGGAAACTGCCGACTTAAAACACTCTTAACAATATTTTCCTATTTCTTTAACACCTCTCCCTTGGGCACTCTCCCTTCACAGCATCCTAA